ACCAGATTATTACCACACACTACAAAGTCGCTATAATTAAAACAGTGAGTTACTAGAATATTAACAAACCAGTGAGACAGAATAAAAACCTCAAGACAGACCCATGTAGACCCATAGGAATAGACTCAATATTATGAAATGACCAGTCACCTCCCAAAGTAATAGAAAATATTAATACAATGACAATCAGAATTCTAATGAAATCTGGGAAGAAGAATCTGACTAACTGATAAAAAAATTCAACAGAAAAAAATCTCTGAGATGAGATACCTCCACACCCTGCCCCCACCAACACACAGGAAATTTTAAAGAACAATGAGGGGAAACTTACCCTACCATAAAACATATAATAAGAGATAGATAAACTTGGATCTATCACACAATAAAACACTGAACATAATTTCATGGATCTCAATATAATACAGTTACGTAACAAACAGGGAGAACGTATTAAATTAGTAACAGTGTTTGACAGTGAGCCAGGAGGGATGATCTGAGGGACTACTACTTTTTGGTTTCAGCATAATTGCACTTTCTACCACAATTCCTATTATTTTCAATAAAGTAATTTTAAAATCTAAAAAATGGGAAGAAGCAAAAAGAATATACTCGAGCCCCATTGTTAGGCTATGTAGCAAAGGGACTTTGTCCTATGCACTTCTAACTGTGTGGCTTCTCTGGCGATTCTGGGTGAAGAGACAGGACTCTAGGAGGGGAGTACCGAACAGCGGCCTTCAGCGTGTCCTTCTCTCAATCCGAAGGTTCACTGGGGTATCTCGAGAGATCCAAGAGGCCTTCTCTCCTACCTCACCGACAACAACCTGGCTTTTCGTATTTTATTTAAGGTCATACTGTGTAGTGTTTCATTAGGGGAAAGTGTTCTATTACCTAAGTAAAGTTTATAAACCACCCACCCAGAAGACTGCCAGTAGAAACACTATGTTAAAGGTAATTAATACTTGTTAAAGAACTATAAAAGATCTATTACATTAATGAACATTTAATCACATTTTCTAAATACAAAGTATGCCTTTCTCAGATAACTCCCCAAATGCCACAAGCTGTTAAGAATCATTCCTCTCGGGGCACTTGGGTGGCTCAGTCGTTAAGCGTCTGCCTTTGGCTCAGGTCATGATCTCAGGGTCCTGGGACTGAGTCCCGCATCGGGCTCCCTGCTCAGCGGGAAGCCCGCTTCTCCCTCTCCCACTCCCCCGCTTGTGTTCCCTCTCTCTCGCTGCGTCTCTCTCTGTCAAATAAATAAATAAAATCTTTATTAAAAAAATCACTCCACTCTTCAAAAAAAAAAAAAAAGGAAACATTCCTCTCACCCAGAAGAACTTCAAGTCCATTTTGAGAAGAACTGTAGAATAAATTATTGCATTTTATGTATCATTTTGTTTCCTAAAATCATTTTTTAAAATACTAATCTAGGTAGGTATGCTTTCTAAATTATGTAACTTTAACCAGCTTTTATGCCTTTCAGGGGTAAATACCATATTTAAAGAGTCTTTCAGATAAACAGGATCTTGTGAGATTCTATGATCTGATTCTTCTGCCCACTGTTACTTGAAACATCCAACTTCATTACCTGGGTTCAACATTTATCCATGAGCAATACACAAAAATTTCCAGGCTTTCTATACACCAAGGCTTATGCTCAGTGCTTAAGGGAGAACCACACAATCAAAAGCTCAGATGTTGATTTTTAAATTTCTGAGGTCAAATAATAAAAATAGTATAAAAGAAAAAAAATAGTATAAAAGATAACATGAACGACCTATCTGCACAGTTCTAAGATGGGAGGGATGAGAATTCAGGGAGGAGTGACAAAGACTGCTTAGGGGATGCAGGACTTGGGCTAGGTGCCTTATGCACACATGGGCACAAGGGACCTTCCTGGCTTTTGGCTTGTGCACAGATGGACTTGCTGAACTATCTCACTAGGAACATATACCTCTGTTCAAAACTCACAGAACTGCACACTAAAAAGGGTGGGATGTACTTTATATAAATTATACCTTAATTAAAACAAGGAAAAAAACCCACCTGTAAATGACTACCTGGAAGACAATTAATTCGGCATTTTATATAAAATTTCAAACACACATACCCTATGACTCAGCAATTCTACTTTATTTGCCAGTTATATCCGGAGTACCAAATTATCCATTATTCACATTACAGCATTGTTTGTAAAATTTAAAAATCAAGTTTTTTAAAAATAAAATAATATTTAGTATGAACAAGTACTTAGGTACAGTGATATAGGTCTAACATCAAACATTAAGGACTAAAACATAAAAATTACTTCTGGAAGAGAAGTTGATTTGTACAGATAAGAATGCCAATAAATGTAATTTCTCAACCTATAAAAAACTGGTTCATTACTCCCAGTCTGTTCAAAATCATTTCCAAACACAGGTGAGCAAAGACACAGCGTTCTTTTCTTCAAGCTTAATCTTTACTGACTGACCTTTCCTGGTATTTAAGTTCATGAAAACAAAGATGTCTGTAGCCTGGCATTACCGACAACCACCACTGACACCCATGTGTACTACAGTTCACAGACTCCTTGAGTATCTGTTGATTTGACTCTTCTGCACACATTTTCTTAGAAGTTGGCAAGGTAAAGAGAGAAGAACCAATGGAAGAACTCTCTACATCCAACATGGGGCTCAAACTCACGACCCTGAGATCAAGAGTCACACACTCCTCTGACTGAGCCAGCCAGGTGCTCCTGGAAGAACTCATATGTTTTAATAATCAGAGGGCAAAAGTAAAAGTGGAGGCCTTTCTATAAATAATGCAAATCATGAAAGGCCTTAAAGGAAAAGACTAATAAATTCGAAATTTCTGTATGACAAAAAGATAAAACATTTAAACTTAAAATCACTATTATTACATTTTGGTGGGGAGCGCCTGGGTGGCTCAGTCATTAAGCGTCTGCCTTCGGCTCAGGTCATGATCCAAGGGTCCTGGGATCAAGTCCCGCATCGGGCTCCCTGCTCAGCGGGAAGCCTGCTTCTCCCTCTCCCACTCCCCCGCTTGTGTTCCCTCTTACTGTCTCTCTCTCTGTCAAATAAATAAATAAAATCTTTTTAAAAAATAATAAAATATAAATAAAATCACTATTAAAATTTTTTAATGAAATAATTAAGTGTATGTGGGGGGGTGTTTGTAATATTTATAGACAAAGGGTAAATACTTCTGTTTGTTTACCTTTAATAGTCAAAGAATTCTTGCCAATACATAAAAAGATAAATAGCCAGGTAGAAAAAGCACAAGGACTTTAAAGAAGGAGGGCTAAAGATAACTAAGGCAAGCAATAATCTCAACTTCAAAATAAAACCCCTAAGACAATGACACATCAAAATGTGGGGAAAAAATGGAAGGTGAAAAAAATCCCTCACAATCAGCGTTGGTGAAAGCACCTGGTTCTTTTGTACGCCGAGTGACACAGCCTTTTTGAAGAGCAAAGGAGCATTTTTAGTATGTAAAATGTATATACCATTTCACTTCCAAGAAGTCATACTTGAAAAGATATTTATGCAGCACAAATATAAGTTTTCTAGCAGCATCAATTTGTAGCATCAAAAAATGTAAACACCTAACAATCTATCAATAGGGAACTGGAAGAGGGAATGACAGTACATTCCTAAGACCTGCAGGGTCACCGAAAAGAGTAAAAGTCACTCTACTCCTGTGCAAAGGTGCTAAAGAAAGATACACTGTTAACTGAGAAGAGCAGTTGCAGAAGATCATGTGCAACATGGCGGGCGCTGCATGTGGACCAGTCCTGGGTGGGGGGCAGGCCAGTGTGAATATACCCAAAACACCACAGGCATGAAATAGGGGTTTGCAATGAATCATGAAAGGGGATGGTGTTCGTTTCCTACATTATACATTGCTATGTTTTATTTTTTATTGTTAGGAATGTTTTACTTTGGGGCGCCTGGGTGGCTCAGTCAGTTAAGCGGCTGCCTTCGGCTCAGGTCATGATCCCGGGGTCCTGGGATCGAGCCCCGCATCGGGCTCCCTGCTTGGCAGAGAGCCTGCTTCTCCCTCTACCTCTGTCTGCCGCTCTACCTACTTGTGCTCTCTCTCTATCTCTGTTAAATAAATAAATAAAAATCTTAAAAAAAAAAAAAAGAATGTTTTACTTTTAAAATCAGAAAATAAAGGTTTTGAGTGTACAGTTATAATAGGAGAAAGGAAAGTTATGTCCTAAGAAGATGTTTTTAAAATGTAAAGCTCTGAATCTCTCCAGTACATACACTACCCAGATTAGCCCAAATCCCCACCAAAATGTAAGTGTTCACTAGATTCCAGGCCACCTCAAAAAGATGACTTAGGGGCACATTCAGGACCTCAAGGCATGTATGTGTCACATTAAGACGTAAGTTCAACAATATGAACATTCTTAAAGTTGCATTTCAAAGGACGGGGGCACCTGGGTAGCTCAGTTGGTTAAGTATCAGACTCTTGATCTCAGGGTTGTGAGTTCAAGACCCACGTTGGGCTCCATGCTGGGCCTGGAGCCTACTTAAAAAAATAATAATATAATAAAATTAAATTAAATTAAAGGAAAACACAGCCAGAGAACTCCTTAAAATGTAAAATAAATAAACAACTGCTCAAATTATTTTCTGTTGCTATTTGTTGTATTTCTGTAAGTGGAAGAACTTATAACTTTTAAACTTCAGCCTAAAAGTTTCCTTTCCCAGATGAGGAAAAGAATATTTGAGTTTCGGGCGCCTGGGTGGCTCAGTTGGCTGGGTGACTGCCTTCAGCTCAGGTCATGATCCTGGAGTCCCTGGATCGAGTCCTGCATCAGGCTCCCTGCTCTGCAGGGAGTCTGCTTCTCCCTCTGACCCTGCTCTCTCTCATTCTCTCTCTCAAATAAATAAATAAAATCTTTAAAAAAAAAAAAAAAAAAAAGAATACTTGAGTTTCAAGACACATTTGTTTTCACAGCACTTGAAACCCAAAAGAAAACATACCTTCTAAGAGCATCTCTGGAATGTCTGCTTGATATCTAGGCCCCACTCTGATTTCACCTTTGTCAGCTAACAGTGTTTTCACTGAAGGGTCATAGACCAGTGAGTAGAAAAAGGTGTCCTGAAAAAAAAAAGACAGAAAATATTTAGGTAAACTTAATTCCTTCTACTTTTTATAAAGCAATAAGGCCAGTATCACGATAATGAAACCATAAACTTCAGAAAGTATGTAAGATTTTATTTTGGTGAATAAATTCATAGATCTTGAAGAAAAACTGTTACTGTCATCATGTAGAACAGCATAAAATTAAATCAAGCAAAAATAAATAGCTTACAATAAAGGTAGACTATAAAGTTTTGCTGTTCATTTTAGTCTAAAAGAAAACCATTTAACTGCTCTAAAACAAGATTCTGAAAAGCTAGCAAAGCTAAGTTGTAAGTCAAAGTAAGACACCTGAAATCGAGCAATCATTTCAATCTCTAAAGCCCACACCAAACAAATAATGAGGACACCAGGCACTGTTACTTTTAAAGTGTCCATCCACATTTTATCAAAATGATAGAATGCATACACATCTCACATTCAATAAAGTTTAGAAGAGTTGAGCTTACACGCAGTTTACTTAAATTAAAATGTCACATTGTATTATTTAAACATTTATTAATTCTAAGTCTGCAGTTCTCTTTTAAATCCTGAAGCACTCATATTTATATATAAATAGGTATATATACATAACTATACTTACCACTACCAGTACACCCACTAACTTTTCAAGGTCCTTTAAAATGCAAAAAGGCCCTAGTTACTGAGCCTAAAGGATAAAATGGCCAGGCCACCAGGGCTTTGCTGAATTCTGCAAAACCACTGGATGTCTTATAAAGTCTTGTCCCTGCTTCCTGCTATGACTCTGAGGGTCCTCTACTGCCCGACTCTCTGCATTTTATCTTGGAGGGGCCTGTTTCTGCCATCAGCACTTTACCAAGACCCTGGTAAGCAACTGCAAATAAGAGATAACCTGCCTGATTGTAAAGCTTTCTCCTTTCAGGATGTTACAGACTGTGACAAAGGGAAAGGAGAGAACTGGACAAGGTAATACCATCCCACCAGAAACTGAGCTGTGTTTTAATCATGGGTCACTGTCAGAAGAAAAGCTTAAACAATAAAACTGCTAAGAAGACACAACAATGTGACAATTCATGCATATAAAAAATGCTACCTAGGGAAAAGAAAAATCTGCAGAATATATAAATCAACCTGCTTAACAGGTTGATGGGGGTGATCAATATGTAATCAGAATTATGTGTTTCTGAAGACAGGAGCAACAAAGAATGCTAGTAGGTAATTAGAGCCACTGCCACGCCATTGGCTTTAAAAGAAGGCACGCTTCTGGTCACTTTTATTCTGAAAAATATGTTAGCAGAGTGTTCTATAAAAATAGGATTTTGCCATACTTGACAGTAAAATGAGATGAAATTATTATTTAGGGTCACATAGGTTGCTTAAGACTCCTTAAATTTGGGGTGCCTGGGTGGCTCCATCAGTTAAGCGACTGACTCCTAATTTCAGCTCAGATCACGATTTCAGGGTCGTGAGATTGAGTCTCACGTCAGGCTCTGTGCTGAGTGTGGAGTCTGTTTAAGATTCTCTCCCCCTCTCTCTTCCTCTGCCCCTCCCCCTGCTTGCACTCGCTCACATGCGCTCTCTCTAAATTTGTATGTGCTGCCTGATATGGGAAATTGTTTAAAATGTAAATATAATTTTTCAAGAAGTAAAAAATCGTGATTAGAAAGTTGTCCTTTGAGTTACCATCTTCAAATATGCCAATCTCAGTATTTTAAAAACCAGACTTTCTCAAGGATGGTCTTATAACAGATAAAGCAGTAAAAAGTTAAAAAAAAAAAAGTGTTTTTCAAATTGAAAAAAGAATATAACATAAGCAGTTTTATTTTTACTAAACTCCCTCTGAATAAGAAAAAGTTTCCTCAAATACACTGCCAGAGACGTCAGTTCCTCTCCCAAAGACTGATGCAGGACCAAGTGCTTAAAAATCAGTGGACAGGAAAAAAATCCTAAAGACCTTTGCAAATTTTCATCTCCTACCATCCTTAGCATATAGAAATTGCTAATAACAAATTAGAAGGCAAAAATACTACTTTTTAAAAAATCACACTGTTGGGGAACCAGGTTGGCTCAGTCGGTGGAACATGTGACTCTTGATCCTAGGGTTGTAGGTTCGAGCCCCACATTGGGTGCAGAGATTACTTAAAAATAAAATCTTTTTTAAAATTAAAAATTAAGGGGCACCTGGGTGGCTCGGTCTGTTAAGCGTCTGCCTTCAGCTCAGGTCAGGATCCCGGGGTCCTGGGATGCAGCCCTGCATCGGGCTCCCTGCTCAGCAGGGAGCCTGCTTCTCCCTCTCCCTCTGCCTGCCACTCCCCCTGCTTATGCTCTCTGTCTCTCTGTCAAATAAATAAATAAAATCTTTTAAAAAAAATTAAAAATTAAAAACTTACCCTGTCTTAAATACACCAGTAAAATACACTGAATACTCAATGTTTCCTCCTTTTATTTCTGCTTCTGTGAACTAATGCTAATTTCTGAGCATTATCTTTATGCATATTATTATCTATATGCTGCCTGACAAACACTATGTTCTTTTCTAAATTTCATACGTGTAAGTTATAAAGACTATCAACATTTTTTCTGCCTTGAATATTTACTTCCTCTTAATTTTCTCTATTATATTTTCTAATGTACAATAGTTTCACTTGTCTGCATCAATCTTTTGTAGTTATACTTTCTTCATTTGAGATGAGGGGACACTTTTAAGTATAATAAAGTTTTTTTCAAAGAAAATATATCCCTTTAATTCCTTAAAAACATACACACACATATATAAAGTACATATACACACACATACATACATACACACATACATACAAAAAATAAAGATTTGGGAAAACAAAAATACCATGAAACTATAAAGGTTAAATACTAAAACATCAACAGTAGAAATTTTCCCGTTGTGGAATATTCTCTTTAGAGGAATTTCCTCCCTCCAATGAAGCATATGCTCTCATTCAACTTGTTAAAAAATGTTTAAAATGTTTCTTGTTGAAGTTTACAGAAAGAAACATTTTTAGTTGACAAAGTTTATTGGGATTTTAGGAAAGAAAGCAGACCACCATTTAAGATCTCATCTGGAAAAAGTCTAAAAGAAAAACTGTTTATTTGAAAAACAACAAAAACAAAAAAACAGGGAGGAGTACCGAGTATACGAAAGTCACTTGTTTCATAAAGCCAAAAACAGTTCTTCTACTACCAGCTAAATCATCATACTGTATAAAGCCTTTCATTACCAACTGAAAAAAAAAGACAGAAGTTTTTGCCAAATGTTCTCAGTTAACCAGAAAAATAAAATTATCTAAATGTATTCTAGTCATTATGCTTTTATATAATGCTGCTCTCCCAGTGCAATAATTTGGTGCAAGAAGAAATAAACTCAAAGGTATGGGCTTCATGTGAAATCGGGGGGCTCGGAGGGGGAGGGACACAAAACAAGTGTAATTGTGAATTACCTCTTTATCAAGATATGACAATACTGACTCTGTCTCATTCAGAAGGGCAACACTGCATTTTCCCCTGTTGAAAGAGGGAAAAAGTGAATAAATGTAAGAAAGGCCACCTCACCTTCACAGTGATGACATATACAAAGTTAGGAATATGCAGAATGTAAAGTTGGTATTAAGAAACCAGATGGCAATTAGGAATATACATAAACGTATATACTTATACTTGCTTTACAATCCTGGTGTTGCATAACCTAAAAAAATAGGACTGTCTGTAGATATTTACTGCGAGGCTAACCTGTGGAAGGAACTGTGTTAGGCAGTAAATCTTTAAAACATAAACACTTGATAGGTATTTCCTAACTATTACAGAAAAAAAAAAAAAGGATTACAATGAAACCTTCAGATCAGAAGTGAGTTTCTGAATCTATAAAGAGTTAATATGAGGCGATTTTATAAAAAGAGACTTTAGATAGACTTCACTGTACAAACCAGTACCTAAAATAATCTTTGGATTTTTTTAAGTAGCCAATGCATATGAGAACCTAAAAATAATACACATTCATATCAAGATTAACTGACTTACCTTTATTGACACTGCTCTAAAGCCTAGTTAAAATTTAAATACACTGCTATAAAGTAAAGGGCAAAATAAAGATCTACAGATTTACAGACCCTGAAGTCTGATGGCATTTACCTTTGATCATAGCCCTGGGAGTGAGTTTGAAAATGAAGGTCTATTAAAAAAAAAAAAAAAAGGCTTGTCTAGACTTGAGAAAAATTAAGGTTATCCAGGTAGAGGCATTTATTACAAACACATTTATCATTTATTCTCACTAGCTTGAAAAATTCTGTAGAGCCACAAATTTGACAGGAGAGTTTTGACAGATGTTTCAAGTTATAGATAATTGGTCAGGACTCACAAAATATTTTTTAAATGTCATAATGTCATTTGATTTTGTAAACAAAAGTCACTGCTTGCTCCCCACAAAAATGACAAGCAAAAAACAAAAACATCACATATACATTGAATGGGAAGCTAAAAGAGCAGGCTGTTGGAATAGCAGAGTAGAAAACAATTCAAAGGAAAAAATTACCAAAAGCAAAATAAAATGTAAAATGCTAACACATAGGTGAAAAATTACACTTTACTAAACATTTTGCAAATGTACATTCCTTATATTTGAAAAAAAATTTCCCCTCATAAAAACATCTTTTTCTGGGAATCAGCTCTAGTTAATATCACTTCAAAAGACTTCTGAGAGCATGTGTTCTTTCCATATTGTCCTGTCAAGTCTCTAACTTGCTTAGGGAGAGTTATAAGGGTTTTTGGTTTTACTAATTTTAGTCGTGCATATTACTGAAGCAGAAAAATTAACATGATTACTTCAGAGCATATAACATCACTCACAGTCAACAATTACCTGACAGGCTCTTAGGAAGGACAGAATTACGGGTGGGGAAACTGCTCTGCTGAGGTCTGCACATCTACAGCTGCCACGGAAAAGCTTCTGTGACCTGTGTGTGTGCTCCTCACACGTGCAGCGCGCTTACGGACCAAATGGGCTTCCCAAAAATAGGCTTCAGTTATTTTTTTTGCCTAACAGCTGACAGAGCAGTATTTCTAACATTTAATACTTAATCACCTAGAAGAAATAAAGTCTTGGTTTTTAAAGTTCTCTAAAGTTGGGTGTTTTTTTTTTTAATGAAAAGGAGCAAAAGCTGAATGTTATTTTAATAGACACCACTTTCTTTAAGAGCCATTTGGATGTTAAGGGTTAATAGACATTGAAAATTCATACAAACAATACAGCATTAGTCTCCTCCATACTGCCTGAAATGACAAGAGGATTTAAATGGAATCATCAAACCATTATTTTCATAATTACATTAGGAGATAACAAAATGCTGATTATATACTGTTTTAGAGATACAACATGATTACAAAATCAAGAGGATACCCAGCCAATCTAAAATATAAATTATTTGGGGGAATGTAGCTTTTATGCAAAGATGAAAAAAATAATAGGTGATTTCATTTTTAAATTTCCTTTACTGTAGCTATGAATTTGCTCCCAAATTAAAAATGAAAACTGACACTTAAAATATTCAAGTACATATACTAACAGCTAATAAAGCAGGAGGTTGAGTCAGAATTATTTTATGAAGTAAATATGAATATATAATTAACACATGTACTACCACGCCAAGAATTGTTGATAAAAGTAGCTTAAAAAGATACTTAAAGTGCTGGTTTCCTTTATGCTGAACAAATCCTGGCTCACAGAAAAAAAATATGATAAATTTTAAGCTAACCCCAAACCAAAGGAACTATTATCAAACTGTAATATAGACAACCCAATTGGTTGATGCTGAATCTCAAGCAATGATCCTAAATGTTCTCTTCCACCACACGTGAATCCTTAAGGAAGAAAGATATCCAAACATGAGGATATAAATATAAAATACATTAAAGACCTTAACACAAAGAAAGATCACTGCAGGCCTATATAATTATTCATACTGCTTTTCTACAAGGAACTATACAGCAACACAGAATTTCCATAGAGACAACATACTTCCCCACAGATCACTGAAAAAGATCATACTCTGTCTGCTTCAGAGATTGCGCAGGGTGCTAGGACAGAGAGACATGTGAATAAATAATTATGACACAACACACTCCCATGTTTAACGCCAGGTGCTGATCAGCTTGCTATCTGCTTAATAGGATGTTCAGTATCATCCTACAGACTCAAACACCACATGTAAAAATGTGCACACAGGTTATATATTTCTTTTATTTAAAGATGTTACCTATTTGTATAAATGAAAGAGGAAGTTTTAAAATGAGTATCCATTTCCCCAGTGCCTGAAGACTCTCAGTTTCATACCACTGCAGCTTGTAGAATGGTGTAGGACCACTAGGGTCCCTGCTTAGGAAAATGCAAATTTCTTAGTGCCACACCAAACTTATTGAGGCCAAATATCCCTGGGAGGGATCGAGAAATCCATGTGGTTGATAAGTATCACCAGGTGATCCTTAGTGAGATTTACTGAATCCAAATATCTCGGGGAGGGATCAAGGAATCTACATGGAAAACAGGCATCACCAGGTGATCGTTAAGCACAGTGAACTTGAAAACCACTAGTAAAGATGCAGGGTCTGACTAAACACATTCCTTGTTCAACAAAAGACTATTTTTTCATTAAAAAGGTTATTTTTCAGGGTGTTTGGGTACCTCAGTCAGTTAAGTGTCGGACTCCTGGTTTCGGCTCAGGTCATGATCTCTGGATGGAGAGATGGGAGTCCTGCAAGGGGTAGGTGGGGGGGGGGGGGGAATCCAGGCTCAGCAGGGAGTCGGCTTGAGGCTCTCCCTCTCCCTCTGTCCCCCCACACTCACCCAAATGCGCATGCGCACACGGGCGCACGCGCTCTCTCAAATCTTTTTTTAAAAAGGCATTTTTCTCAATAGCCTTATGAGTCTTACAGTTGCTCTGGATTCTGGACATTTTCTCATATAAAAACAATGCTGGCAGGCAACTGGGTGGCTCAGATAGTTAAGCGTCTGCCTTTGGCTCAGGTCATGATCCCAGGGTCCTGGGATCGAGCCCTGCATCGGGCTCCCTGCTCGGCGGGAAGCCTGCTTCTCCCTCTCCCACTCCCCCTGCTTGTGTTCCCTCTCTTGATGTGTCTCTCTCTGTCAAAAAATAAATGAAAATCTTAAAAAAAAAAAAAAAGACTAATCTAAAAGAAAGGCAAAACAATTAAGTTCAAGGAGAGCAAAAGGTTGTATAAGAAAGAATATGTGGGAAAACCTTACATGTTCATAAAATACAATGAATGATTATTCAGTTTAAAAAATGTTGTGATATATTGGGAAAACGAAGGAAAGTTAAAGAGAAGAGAAAGTAAAGAGAGATTTAGAAAATTGAAAAAGTAATAGTAGCAGTGTAAGAGTGGTATTAATACAGAAACCACAGAGAAAAGTCGAAAATGACTGTGGAGGGGGAACTAGGCTTATGACTGCCTTGGATATTATTATATAAGTATATACATATATTTGACTTTTAAAAATAATACAATTTAAATTTAAAGTAAAAATGGAGAGCCTAAGTAAACAAAGTGCATACATTTGTATAAATAATACATATACCAAGGAAGCAAAGATTATTTACCATGAGTCTACACCAAGTTTTCTCAACCTTGGCATTATTAACATATGAAGCCAGGTACTTCTTCGCTGTGGCGGGCTGTCCTATGCACGTAGAGTGTTTAGCAGCATCCCTGGCCTCTACCCACTGGACAACAGTAGTATCCCCACACCTAGCTGAGACAGCCAAAACTGTTCAGACTTTGTTGAATGGCCCCCAGGAGACAAAACAGTCCCTGGTTGAGAACCACTGCTCTAGAGTTGATGAACCACAGTTTTCTTTCTTTTTTAAAGATTTTATTTATTTGAGAGAGAGAGAGTGAGTGGGAGGGAGAGGGAGAAAGAATCTGAAGCAGAGTCTGTGCTGAGAACAGAGCCCAATGTGGGGCCCGATCCCAAGACCCTGAGATCATGACCTGAGCCGAAACCAAGAATCAGACGCTTAAGCAACTGAGCCACCCAGGCGCCCCCGAACCAGAGTTTTCTTAAGTATATCTTTTTTTTTTTTTAAGATTTTATTTATTTATTTGACAGAGAGAGATACAGCAAGAGAGGGAACACAAGCAGGGGGAGCGGGAGAGGGAGAAGCTGGCCTCCCGCCAAGCAGGGAGCCCGATGAGGGGCCCAATCCCAGGACCCCGGAATCATGACCTGAGCCGAAGGCAGACGCTTAACAACTGAGCCACCCAGGCACCCCTCTTAAGTGTATCTTAAGAAACAAACACTGGGGCGCCTGGGTGGTTCAGTTGGTTAAGCGACTGCCTTCAGCTCAGGTCATGATCCTGGAGTCACTGGATCAAGTCCCGCATCAGGCTCCCTGCTCGGCAGGGAGTCTGCTTCTCCCTCTGACCCTCCCCCATCTCATGTGCTCTCTCTCATTCTCTCTCTCTCTCAAATAAAGAAATAAAATCTTAAAAAA